GTTGCTCTTTATAGCATTATTTCAGAAGTTCCATTTACAACAATAAGTTTTAAGACTTTCACGAGTACTTAACAAATAATTTTGTTGTCTGGCTCAACCTTAATTTACTCTATGCTTTCTTACGATTTATCACTTCTGATTCAATTTAAGAAGAAAAGTGCTCTGTTGTGAAATTCTCATAACATTGCTTAGCCATCAGACCGAAAATAGATAACTAAAATCGTGCAAGTGACGTATAATGGGTGGGCAGTCGCAAAGTATTCGGAAAATCTTGAAAAGTCTTAAGGATCTCGTTGACAGGCGACAAATTTATGCGTGAGAGAAGTGCTGCAACACTCACTTGCCTTTTAATTGACTCGGCCTGCAATTAAAAATAAAGAAGTGCCAGTGCAAACATTTCTTATTTCATGTGCATTTCGAAAGCTGTACAATTTGTGGTTACCATTTGGTTGATTTATCTGCGCTGCGGGGCCACTTTTTTGGGTGATAAATTTCTTGGAAATGTCTCCGCCTTAAGCAATTCTAATGCCGCGTCCCATTAAAATTTATCGCTTCGCATAATGCTAATGACTAATATTCATTTTGGGCTGGCTCACGTTCTGCTTGCCACAATGCTTCTGTAATTCAGTTGGCAGTTCTCGAATAATCAGTTCAAACACTCCATTGTATGGAACAGTGGCCAATCAAGTCCGTTTTGCCGGAACAACTAATAATGGTGATTATTTTTTCTATCACCATGACAATGTCACCATGAACGTCATTCAGATGGGACTCAAAGGCTTAATGGCAGCTTCTCTGCGCATTTGCAACAAATAAAGCCTGTCTGACCTTTGTTGCTTCCTCGAATGTTGCAATATTTATGCGCACACACATGCAGCGGACGGAAATTCAAGGCTCAACTGCAGGCCAGTATCTTAAATTATAGTCAACTGTCGTCGGCCGTTCATGGTGCATTTATATTTATGACTGGGATACACACAAAACGAATTAAAGAGCTGTTCTAGGGTCGTTTAAAGGTTAGGAAATGAGAGGGGTGTGCAATAAATGAAAATTATTCCCACAGATATCATCTCGTTCCTAATAACATTCGCATGCAACAGATTGTCAACAAAATGATTTGCTGGCAGAAAGGGGAGAAGGCCTCCTGCAGTGGCCCGCAGCCCACGCGTCGTATGCGCAATTTGCATAATGAGGATGTGGGGCAAGAAGTTGGCATGGGCATCATGGGCATCATGGGCATCATGGGTTTTCCGTTTCAAGGCACCGTCCCCACGGACAGATGACCCAATTTTTTAAGGGTCCTTCAGCACTTTATTGAGCGCCTTTCTCAGCGCCCATTCGCTTTGCATTCCCTTTATGTCTTAAGTGTCTGTAACCTGAGGCTAAGCGGTCTATTTTCAGCAGTCCAGACATGGCCTTAAAGCTAGTTGCCTACTTATGGATTCCTGCAACGCATTCGAATCATTCGAATCGCCTTGGATACACGGCAGCTCGATGAGGTTCAAAGGTAAATAATCGGATAAATATTTGTAATAATTTCTTGAGCGATGAACCACTTCCAAGCGAACAGCAAGTGGCATCCACACCCACACCCACAACCACTTCCACACTCACAATCAGATGCAGCTCATTAGCATTTGATTTGGCATCGAACCGAGGAAATATTTCCGGCAAAGCGGGCAAACATTGAACCTTTGCTCTGTGTCATTGCCATTTGCGGTTAGTTGAGCGGCAAAAGGTAAACAAATTTACGGGAAAACTCCCTCACCACCCGTGGTTTGAATAATGAAGAAGTGTTTGAGGTGTGAAAATAAATTTGGTAGCAAACGAAGCGCTGGTGTGAGTAATCAATATGAATGCTATTTTGATGCAGAGATCTATCATTCAGTGGTAAATATGTATATAAAATCCATGCTGTTTGTATATGGAAGTTAATCAAATGTGTTGGACCCATTTTGAAAAATAACCATAATGCCGAGCATTTCGATTATGTTGATAAATGCGGAATACGATGTAAATTGATCAAGAACACAACGTTTCACTTTATTTAAAAGATTTACACAGCTGTGGTCGAGTCATAAAAGAAAAGAAGTACAAATTGAAATAACTTGTAAACAGCAGACAACATGCAGCATGTTTCCTCATATTTTTTCAATATATCAATCTAGTGAGCTAGTGTAATAACTTCCAGCACCCTTCTATACCTCTCATTCATTTTATCTAAGTCACCCAAAGAACATACATAAATGTAAAATATTTCAAATACACTTTATATATTATTGTGCAAGTGCGTTTATTGGCACAACTCGAGGCCAACGAAAGTTTGTTTTGGTGAAGTAAACAGCCTTTGGATGAAGATGGTGCGCCCAATTCGTCGCAAAGGAATCGAGGAGGTCTACGGATCCAAAATGGATGCCTTGCATCCAGTCAAGTCGGTGGCGATATCCCATGCAGGTATGTCCAAGAAAACAGGGAGAACTGAGAGATCGGGCCCAGGCGGTCCAACTGGCGGTGGAGGAACCATTAGTTCCCGACAAGCCGATGCTCGCACTCAGCGCAGTTTTGTCACCGAAAATGATTACTACATCACCACCAATCTGCCGTTGACGGCGGCCAATCTGCGAAATTCCCCCGGTTCGATGGCGCAGCCATTAATATCGCAGATGGTTCCCGGCCATGTCCAGCCATCTCCGTATAACGCCATGTCCTCGAGGCGAAACCAAATGGCCAACAAGGCCAGTGGCCGTCAGCCGCCGATGAGCAAGGTGCCGCATTTTGGCCCGGCCGACAGCACGGTGAACAATAATGGCTATGGCGTGTCCAAGCCGAAGGAGACCTACCGAATGCAGCACCGTGGCAAGGGCAATACCCAGAGGAACGACTATCCCATGGATGACGACGCCGACTTCTCTGATAAGGAACTAATGGTGCCGCAGCAGGGAAACATGGGAAATATGCGCCGGCATAATCAGCACTCCCATGCCCATCAAATGCAAATGCAGATGCAATCCGGAGTGTTGCAGCATCCGCCGCAGCATCAGCTCCACCAGCAGCAGCAGATGTCCACTCACAACCACCTCAAGCAGCAGCAGCTGCAGCAACAGCAGCTGCAGCAACAGCAGCTGCAGCAACAGCAGCGCCTCCAGCATACCCATCCGCATCCGCATCAGAAGCAGTCACGTGGAAGACAGCCGGTTTCCACGACCAAGGTGCACGTGAGTACCGCCGATGACGATGAAGAGAAGGAGGACGATCCCGAGGAGTTCTTCGAACTAATCCGCCAGACCGTACAGACGGCAGTAGGAGTGAGTTTTGCACTCATTCTTTAGCTTAATATTAAATAATAAATCAAACGATCTCATTAGAACACCATATCCGACGCTCTGGTAAAGAACTTTCGCGATCTGAGTCACAAGATCGAAAGATTCTCGGGCGAGTTGAAGCAGACAAACGAGAACCTGGACAGACTGCAGGAGCAAGTCACTAGTAGTGAGTTGTTTACGCTTCACCTAATAATTTTTAACAATTTTTTTTGCATCTGCAGAGGTGGTTTACTATGGTGAGGAGAACTCCCGACACTTTCGGTACTTGTGCATGAAGTCCGAGTACGATAAAATGTTTTACCAGCATCAAACGCTGATGAACGGAAAGCCAACTCCTGAGATGTTGAGCCTTTCGAAGGCGAATTTAGAAGCAACAGCCTCGGCCAGCAAGAATTTAACACGGAAACCATCGAAACAACAAGCTGAAAAAGTGTTTAAGAATCCAAGCAAAATGCCTGTTAGCACAAAAAAGGACATAAACGAGTCCGTGAAGAACTCCAGTGCCTATCGTAGCATCTCCAAGTCCCAGCAACCAGCTGCACGAAGATCCTCATCGGACCAAAGTTTAGTTGTGAAATCCTCTGAAGTGGACATGCGAGAAGTCCTGGTTCATATTCAGCGCTACTGCAATCAGGTCCAACTTAAGGATATGAATGGTCAGATGGCAGCTGAACTGCCCAATCTTGAGGACATTTTAGTGCCGAAGAGTAATTCAATCGGTGGACTTTGTGAGCAAGCAGCCAAGAGCTCCAGGACCATCACAGGCTGTCAGAAAAAAAAGAAGGATGACGACACAGAGATGGGAACACCCATCGATAGTACGGATGAGACCTTCACCGAAGTGGATGACTTCCAGTTCTCCTCGGACATCTCGACCTGCAGCGAGGACGATGACTGTGGCCCCAAGTATCCAAGTGGAGCAACCACAGCCCGACCAAACCGCAAATTAAATCGAAGGGCAGCCAACACAGGCGCCGGAGATGGTCAGTAATGCCACTGGACTAGATATATATATAATGCTCAGCAGATTGGACAGATGAAGGAGCAGTTGAACTGAAGAAAGGAACCCTTTCCTAGCAATCGTCTTAATACTTATTTAAATATTACTTTTGGAATGACCTAAATTTTTCCGATAACGTAAAACAAAAAAAAATTGCATCATATGTTTCGACAAATTAGCTATAACTTATCGTACCTGCCGTACATGTATTAATTGAATTTATCTTTAGGATCACAACTAAACCATGTTCAAAATTCAAAACCTTCATTCTTATTGTATTATTTGCACAGCTTACATTGAGCATAAAACTGGCCTACTTGGCCCTTGGCAATCCCAATACCCGCTTAGTAATGCCCATTGGTGTCACTAATAACTGCATATTATATTGACTGCAAAGCAAGAACCAACTGAGCTGGCCAAAACAAGGCATCACCCCCAGGCAACCGGGTAAAACTGAGTCGAGTGGAAAATAAGGCCTAAGACCACCCCCACTAACCACTAGCCACTAGCCACTAGGCCTAACCTGCAGCTGCATTTTTATGGGCTTACGAGTGTCGCGGTTCTGCCAGTTCTTCCGCTAGTTCAGTTGGCCAAAACAGTTTAAACGTGGATGTGGTCCGTTGTGGTCCGGTGACATATTGGTGCGTCTATTCGAAGTAAAATAAATATTTAAATAACATACCAAAAATCGAAGACCAAAAGTGAAACTGAAATTACTTTTCGGCCAATTACAGCTAAGCCCCTAGAGAAAAAGAGCTCTGAATTAAACTTATGCAACGCGGCCAAGTGAAAATGGTTATTTTTCAACTGACGTTGCGTTTGACGTGAATTAAAAGTGTTATGCAAAGCCCCGAAACCCGGAAAAGCGCCCTACGAATGTCAAAGCCCAAGGCCCGAGTCTCGTTTCTATTTTCAAGGATATTCCACTGAACATTTGCATTGGATAGCCATAAAACTAAATGCAACATTGATAAACCAAATGGGATAGCAAATATTGTGCAAGCTATCAAGTGCTGAACTGTAAGACTGGCCAAAATTGCAATTACTGATCGGCACCTTTGACAGGCCACCCTTTTCCACCCTTTTCCACCCTGAAACCCGAAACCCTTTTGCCCAGCAAGTTGGCTAATTGCAATGACCAATATTTGAACTGGCTTCGTGGTGTACATATTTATTTTTATAATTATGGGAAATTGTACACTCGACGAGGAAAGCACTCAATTTTGTGAGTGACTATTTGAGCCAATAACCATAACAACCAGCGAGTGCCGGGCCTAAGCCAAGTTAGTCAAAACAAAACGGCCAAAACAGGTGCAAAACATTGCCACATCAGTGTTCCGCCTTCGGTTTTCCAGGGGGTGGGTTCGAAAACGGAAAAACTAAAATAAAACAAACTGAAATAGAGGCAAACAAAAATCGAATAGAACATAATTGCATTGTGCGGGCCACTGCAATACTGCACCCGTTAACACAGGGGCTTACCAAATCAAATTGGTTGTTCGTGGGCCAACAATAAATATAACATACGAGTATGTATGTATGATTTGAGTGCTGCGTACATCACTGGACAAATATAAAACGAGAAACGTTTAATTGACCCTAAAATCACTGAGGCGTTCAATTTGTGTTCCCTTGTTCTTCTTTTTTTGCCAACGGCTGTTACCAAAAACTATTGTGGCTCCGACTGTCAGAGGGCCCAGTGCGTGAATCTGTGTAATGAGTGTGTGCAGTGCCATAAATTCCAGAATTCTACTTCCACAAAAAACTCTATTGATTTTCCCGAAGTGAGAGAATATGCGAAACAGAAATATTTTCCACCGCATTACTTTGCACTGATAGTGGGGAAAATCACGAAGAAACGGACATGGAAAAGTGGAAACTGTGCCAAGCCAAAGTCTGTGTTAGTGTGACAATTTTTAATGCGATTAAAGTGCAGCACTCTCCACGCAGTCGGCAAAATGCTTGAAGTGGCCGGCAAAAATGGCAACAGCTAAAAATGAAAAAAAAATACAATACTGCCCACTGCAGCTAATATCCAACTTACCAGTTTCTTTCTCCCTTCTAGCAACCAAAAATAAAATAAAATGATATCAATTATCAGTAAATGTTGAAGGAAAGACTGCTGCATTGCTTAGTTATCAACGGACATTTTTTGTATTTAATTAAAAAACTTTAAAACTTTAAAGATGAAGGTCATGGACGCTTTGCAATCTGGACGGAGAAAGCCATTACCAGTTGGTGAGTGCTCAGTAAATGTCGTAAGGCAGAAGTGAATTGCAATGGAATGAATGGCAACTTGAGGGGATTTCTTATTCCGGGAATATTTCAAGACCTGTATTCTTCTCGAAATGCCATTCAAGTTTGAGTTGGTGTAGAAAATTCCCCTGCAAATATGATTCGACTGAATCCCCTTATTGAATAATTCAATCAATTACCCAGACAATCCACTCCGCTTTTAACAAGCCACCAAGCCAACCAGAACAAAGGCACTTTAACTTAAAGGAAGGAATCAACTTGTTATAACTTATGCGAATAAGATTTAATTCATGGTACTTCTCTGCAGCTCTCGTATGCATCCTAGTCACTGTGTTCTGCATCTTGGAGTGCCATGGAGTGGAGCTGACATCACCCACCAAGAAGTCCGCTCCCCTTCGAATAACCAAACCGCAGCCCACAAGTCAGCAGGCCAAGTCCATCAGTATTACCACAAAGGCCCCAACCACGGTGGCTGCAACCACCGATGATGAAGTCTCCAGCTCCAGTCCCAGCTCCGCCGATGGTCAGCTGGCCCCGCTCATCTCATCCACAAGCGAGGGACCCAGCAGTGGAACAACTGCCAGCTTGGTGCCGGAAATATGTCTCAATGGTCTGCAGTTGACGGTCAACAGTGCGGATGAGGGAACGGTTATACGGAAGCAGGAGGAGTTTGTCAAGATACTCGAAGGAGATGTGGTGCTCAGTGTCCTGACCAAGGATCCCGACTCCGCGTTGTTCGTTATCAATCGTGTGAACCAGGCGAATCTTATTATGGCAGACTTTGAAATTGGTTTGTAAAGAAGCGCCGTTTATATGCATTAAAAACAAATCTCTCATATTGGATTGCAGGAATTCGCGCCATCAGCATCGACAATGCCAGCCTGGCCGAGAACTTGCTCCTCCAAGAGGTTCAGTTTCTGCAACAGTGCACGACGTACTCGATGGGCATATTCGTGGACTGGGAGCTGTATAAACAACTGGAGCCTGTTATCAAGGACTTGGAGTACAATATCTGGCCAATACCGGGAACGCGGGCGCACCTCTTGCCCAAAGTTGCGCACTTGCTGCATCAAATGCCTTGGGGCGAAAAAATCGCATCCGTGGAAATAGCAACCGAAACGCTGGAGATGTACAATGAATTCATGGAAGCCGCTCGCCAGGAGCACATGTGCCTCATGCACTTCAAGAGTGACGAGAATGTTTACATCATGTTTGGCAATAAGCTAGCTAGTCACTTCAAGGAAAACGGCACTCTATTTTCCGTGCCCACCGATAGAACAGACGATGAATTCCTGGCAGGTTGATATTTACTTTTTATAATGTTCCCAACTTCTTCATTCATTTCTTCTTTTCTTTTTAGACTTACCAAACAGAGCTTTTGTGCTCATGGAAAACGAAATTGACCTGAGCACTTCCGTTGAATTGGACGCCACGCCCACCGCTCTGGACGAGATCCTGATCGGGAAGAGTGTGCTGCCATCGCGAGTGCTCAGCTTCGCCGGCTCCATAATCGACCTGATGAACTGGCTGCGCGGTTCCCTGTCCAAGCACTGCAAGCGAGGTGAGGAGCACGACTTGTATGTGCTGGAGAGTTGCTTCAACTTTCTGAACTTCATCGAGGACTGGCGGACATCGGAGTACCGACAAGCCCATGATACGGCTGAGATCCTGTCGCTGCTGCTGATGCGCAAGCTGGGTACCGCCATGAACTTTCAGATGTACCAGAAGAAAGTGCTGACCCTGGACAAGATCACGGGTGAATCGCGTACCGAACTGCGCGAGATTGCGTCGCAGAACTTTGTGACCAATGTGACCACGTACTATCACTACAATCGAGACAATCACACCAGCTTGGAGCTGAAGACCAAGTTCGGTCAGGTGTTCAACTGCCAGTATAGTGCTGGTGACAATAGGCGGTATCCATTCCTGTTCGATGGCGAATCCGTGATGTTCTGGCGCATCAAGATGGACACATGGGTGGCAACTGGGCTGACGGCTGCTATCCTGGGCCTGATTGCCACGCTGGCCATCCTGGTGTTCATTGTGGTGCGCATCTCGTTGGGCGACGTCTTCGAGGGAAATCCGGCCACCTCGATTCTCCTTCTGCTCTCGCTCATCCTCGTCTTCTGCTCCTTTGTGCCCTTTTCGATTGAATACGTGGGGGAGCAGCGCAATTCGCATGTGACCTTCGAGGATGCCCAAACTCTGAATACCCTGTGTGCAGTGAGGGTGTTCATCATGACCCTGGTCTACTGTTTTGTGTTTTCCCTGCTCCTCTGCCGCGCCGTGATGTTGGCTTCTATTGGCTCCGAAGGTGGCTTCCTATCCCATGTGAATGGCTATATCCAGGCGGTGATTTGTGCCTTCAGTGTTGTGGCACAAGTGGGCATGTCCGTGCAACTTCTGGTGGTGATGCACGTCGCCTCGGAGACTGTGTCCTGCGAGAATATTTACTATGGTCGTTGGTTGTGGGGCCTATTGGCCTACGACTTTGCTCTGCTGTGCTGTGTGGGCGCGTTGATACCCTCTATATACAGATCCCAACGTAATTATCGGGAGGGCATACTCATTGTCATTGGATCGGTTCTGATAATGGTGATTTGGGTGGCCTGGATAGCACTGTCTCTATTCGGGGACGAGTGGAGGGATGCGGCCATTCCACTGGGATTGCAGGCCTCTGGTTGGGCGGTACTGGTGGGCATCCTGATACCGCGCACCTTCCTCATCGTAAGGGGTATCGAGCGGTCGGATATTGCCCAAGCTCTGCCTTCACTCACTTCGCTGGCTTTCGCCCAGAACAATCAGTACTCCTCGGAACAGGTGGGTTCCTAGTAAATTAACAAAAAAATCTTAACTTAAAAATTAATTTTTACAGAGTGTTTACGAGTGCGTGAATCCCGCCATGCGGCACTGTTCACAGGAGGAGGTGAACCACCAATCGCCCAGTGAGATTCCCACGTTACCCCTCCGAGGAGGAGGCCCACGTCGCCAGCAGTTCTTCGCCAATCTCCGCCAGGCCAATGCCAACATCAATCCGCAACGTCCTCCACCTCGACCCCAGCAGAGTCCCTCCCGATCCTCGGTGTCCTCGCTGCCGCCCTCGCCCGATCACAACAAGATCACCCGTTTCTAGCTCATGAGGGCATAGTGAGGCACTTCTAGTCAACGCTCCCCGTACGTGAATTCAGCTAAGAACTGTCCAACATTTTGAATCACTGACGAACCAAGAACTTATAGAAGTTGATAAAATAAATAATAAATCGATACAAAGTAGTATAGTCACAAGCGCTTTTTTGGGCCTCCAATCTGAGCCGAAGCGCTCCTGTAATTTTTCCATCGCAGCAAATATTTTTATTAGAACGGTTTGTGCGCCTGCTAAGTGAAAGCTGCGAAAGCTCAGTGGCTTTCGCCTCCTTGCTCTTCCTTAATCGGACTATAACTCTAATTGGCTGGGCAAACACGTGACAGGGCAAACAGCGAAAGCTAGACGAGCCATAGGAGAAATCATCTAAGGCGAAACAACGACGGCAATCACAGGACCCGATATCCTTGTGCGTCACGCGACATTGGACGCCCATTTGTTTGGCCTTGGGGCAGTGGTTGTATGGCAGGGGGCCTACAGGAGGACGCTGACGTCAGGGTGACACTGGCCGGGGCAAGAACATTGACCATGGCACATGGACAAATGCGCAACAAGATATGCTATCAAGCCGCCACAAAGGCCGGCAAAAAAGCGAGGTTGCCGCAAACTACCGACTACACGCGACCATTTTAAATGGCGCCGATTTTGCTGACAATGCCACGCGCAAAACATTAGAGGGTTAAGGATGGTGGCCGGTGTGAGGTAGATCCCGTAGGATCCAGTCCAACCTCAATAAAGTTATGCTTTACCCTGTAATCTCGCCCGAAATCCCCCCCGAAAAATCCTCACAATCTGTGGTCTGTGGATGGCATACTTTTCGGGGCAACGCGAAAAGCGCTTTGTTTTCCGCGCTTTTTCCCGCACTGGCCGTTGGCATAATTTGCACTTCATTTGCCGACACACAAAAAGGAAATGTCTTGGCCTGCGAAGGATAAGGACAAGGATTCGCTCGTGGGCGGTTGCTCTGATTGCCGGGCGGCGATAGCACTGCGAAATGAGTTTTCCCCCGTTTGCCATTTTCCTGTTTATTTTCGTATGGCAGCCATGTTCTTGCGTCCTTGCGTATGCTTTGGCATAATTTCCAGCACAGTGTTTGCAATTAAATTCCGTGCTTCTGTGCGAGATTAGAGCAGAAATATGTCAGGGCGGGGGAACTCATGCCGCACCGCAGATCCCTGCAACCGCCTCCCATAATTGGCCATGTTGAGCAGCGCCTAATCTTGAATTCCGGCTGGAGTGTGTGTGACACTTGACTGTCAAAAGCTGTGCTACGTGACATTATTAGCAATGCAGTCCTGCCGCAATTCCTCGCTCGTCCTTGCCTCCTTGCCTCCTTGGCTCCTTGGCGTGCTGCCGGCTACACGCGGTCCACAGGGCGTATGATTTATGACTATGACAGAACTAATGATGCCACATTCGTTAGATGGCAGGCGTGCGCCCAAGGCGAGAAAACATCGAATGGCACATGGATATCTATTTATTTCTGTATCTGTACATATACATTATGCAGTGGGCTGTGTTTCTATCTATACAATACAAATATCAAGTCAAGCCTCAACGCGTCACCGGCTGTGACGTCTTGGCCCACGCTAAAGATAGCCCCAAAAACAATCATAAAAGTCGCTTCCACTTGTAAACTTCTAAGTTTAGTTCAATCTGGCAACAGAAAAGTTTTTGCTTTGTCGAAACACACTGCGTAACATCAATTTCTTGCACACCAACTGGTGAATCATTCAGCAGCGTTTCCATGGGTGTGACGACATCAACCCATCTACCGGTGAAAATCAGAATCAGACATTACGAGTTAAGGTTCGGCACTGTGAGAAAAAATGTGTTCCAAGTCTTTTCAAGTTTTAAAACAAAGGTAATGTTTAATGTATTAATGTATCCTTTGCCTGATCAGTAATTAATTCATATACATTTTCTTGCAAAGTTTGAAGTGTTCTCGCAGTTCGAAGTGCTGAAAATATTTCTCCAAGTATGTGAGAACATTGTTTAAGAATGCGTATCTACTGTGGCATGTCGCCAAATGTGCGCCACGTCCTGCGAGTCGCCTGCCATTTGCCTATATTAGTCATGCGGCCCAAAAAAAGACATGTGACGCCCGAGATACGAGCGCCACCCACTCCCAGGAAGCCAAGAAGCCAGGAAGCCCCCACTTTACCCCACACACAAGCTTTTACTATGCGGAGACGTCAGAGGATGGCGCTACTTTACAACTACAGCGACATTGGCGGGCGTTTGCCGCCCCCCGTCGTACTTGGCAATTTTCCACGCGACTCACAGATAGCGGTGAAGTCAAAACAAAAAGCTTTTCATTCATCAAAAGCAATCGGGTGCAAGTGAGAGGGCTATACGGGAGGAAGAGGGACGGAATTCAGGTTGAGTTTGCGCCATTTGGCAGCTCGTCGAGCTATTTTTCGCCTATTCTGCGGCTGGCTCTTTGCTATTTTCGACACATTTCACTGGCCAACTTGACGAAGCTTCTATTTCTGTGCACTGGCTTTTCCTCTGCGGTTGTTGCTTTTCCCGTTTTTCACTTTGTGACTTCTTCAATTGCGCTTTGGGGTTCATTCATGAAATTTGACAAGCCGACTCGCGTTAACCAAACAAAGACGGGTCGAGCTTTTCTTTATTTTGTCATTTTAATTGTCCTGGCCTGGCTATTTTTGGATAGCCATTTAGCTCGCGATGGGGCTTTAACATTATGAATTATATTTTTATGGGTTTGCACAATTTCATTCAAAAATTCATAGTTGGATAGCTAAGTTGTAGATCCCTTAAGCATATATTATATCTGTGACATTATAGTTTCTAAACTCAGCTTTCATTATCCCTATGATAAGCAGGAAAACTTTAAGATTAAGAGTCAAGGTTTACTAAAATATACCTTCATCTTTACCAAGTGGTAAAATTTACTATTAAGTTAAAAAACAATTTTACTAATAACATAAAGATTTCATAGAGTTGCTCTATCCAAACGAGCTTAGTGTTCCATTTCATAGTGAAAGTCCTTTTAAAGAACAGCAGTCATAACTCAAAGACTGGCGAATTCTCCCGCTTCAATTCTCCGCATCACTTTCCCTCTCTGCGAACAGCTGTCAGCTGGGTGGCCCCCACTTCGCAAAGCTTTCGTCAAGTTGGCGAAGCTTTTCCAATGCGATCCACAGCAGCAGGAGCAACATCCTTGAACAAACGCATTGGAGTCCAAGGGGCTTTTCACGTTAGTACGCGACGTTGACTCCGAGAGAACGGACACGAGGGCTAGCAGACGGCTAACGCAACGGGATAATCGCTGAGACAGGACCTCTCACACACGCGCACTCACACACACACTCACACAAGTCGCAACTCGGCTATATATATATTGTACAAGTATATATATGTATAAGTGAAGCGCCAAGTGCCAGTGTCCTAGAAATTAAACACAATACGAGAATAAATCCAAATCGAAGGCGATAATGGAAAATTAATTGGTAAGGCCCGCGAATGAAACGAAGTAAAGGGAAAGTGCAAGTGAAAAGTGATAGTAAGAAGCAGAAATTCACACACACACACACGCACACAAACCCTCACTCATACACACACGCACGCACACAAAGGAAACGTCATATGCCAGAGGCATTGACAGGAGTCCATGGAGCCCGCATTTTGTGTATCCTATTTTGTGTGGCAGCGCCAGGAGAAGGAGAGCGTGTCCTTAGCCATAGTGGCCAACAAAAACAAAAACAAGCACAACACAATTACAATTACACCGTGTAGTTGCCATAATGATAGATTTCAAAAATAAATTGAGCAAATTATCGTACAGAACGTGCCCCGCTTCGAAAGTCTAAAAATACCCGCGCGTCGCCAAGTTGTCGTGAGTCCAAAGTTCCCTTATTCCCATCATCAGGCAAACAACAGCCAATGTGGATGTGGATGTGGATGTGGATGTCGAAGGGTCTAAAGTGCCGCAACAGTCTTTAAATTATGCATGCACATTGATTTTCCTTTTGCCGTCGTTATATCCCCATCATCTATATCTATATCACCAGGCCATCGGCTTTGTTGTCGCATGTTATCAGCGGAACTGGCGTCCTCGACGGCTTTGTTGAATGCGAGTTATCAGCGCAGCAACGGCCCCGCAAAAGGTAAGCATCCGGCTGGACCACACGGCGTATGGGTAATGGAAAAGCACTTTATTGATTAGGCCACGGCAGGCACACGAAAACAATGTTAATGAGTGCTCATCTTGCTCAACGGAGGCTAAAAATGAAAGGAAAGCTATCTGGGATAAGCGGCATAAGCAGGCATAAGCAGAAAAGGTTTTTTTAGATTGGGGATAGGCTAAGGATGCGCACGAGTATATGACTTAAGTATAATTTGGGTTAATAGGGTTTGAGATGGTGTTTCTTAAAAGTGTGCTTTTAAGTTTAAGGTATTAGTAACAAAAACTATTACTTAACATTTTCCCTTGAAGTACAGCGATGCTGTATTTGTCTCGTTCAAACAAATCAAATCGCTGGGGAATTAGGAAGAATTTTCGGATTTACTGCGCTTTGTTACCAAGAGCTCACTTCCCACTCCCTTGATTAAATGTTCACAGGATCATAAAACATAGCTTTTCTGTTACCCGAACTACGAGTGCTCTGCTTTGGCTCTCTAGCTGCCCGTCACTAGCCATAAATTCAATCAAAATGTCATAAAATACATATATAACTCATTTACAGTGCTTATTAACACATACGCAGAATGGGCGCCAACTCATTAACGCCCCCAGGACATGAGTTGATGCGTGGTCCCAGGTCCTAGTTCCTTTCCCACTCCGAATGCTGCGTCATTGTTGGCACTACAACTGCTTTTAATCTGATTTCAATTATAATTCCATTTTACTGCACTAATGTCGTTTAACGCCCACTGCCGGCTGCTGTGGCTCCCTGTGAATGGCCTCGAGCCACCCACTGTCCGCATCCAGTTGCCACCACCCACCCACCTGGTAAAGGCCATCAGGAGCGCGACCCACTCGGTGCGATTTCCCCTTTGTGCAACGGCATTTTAACGCAATTTATTGGGTCTGACAATGGCCAGTTCCTTGCGCCGATGGCGTTGAAATTTCCATTCGAAGTGCCACCGGAAGTATGGTTATAAAATGTCAACAACAATGCTAACCCAAAACAGTTGCCACACATCCGGTATGCAACTCGCTTGTGTCTGTGTGGGTTTTGCTGACGTTTTTCTAACGATTTTTACGGCTTAATGTCATGCACCGGAGTTCTGCCTTGTTTTTCGCAAAAATTTCCAGCGGCATGCAACAAGGAGTCGGGCTGAAATTGACTTTATGGTCTGCATTCAACCAGGCAATTGGCTTAATTATACAAATTGTTTGGCGGATTATAAATTACTCTGCAGTTTGCATAACGAAGTAGGTGAAATGGGCATTTCCTAGAAATCGAATATAGCGTCCTAAAATTGTTTTTCACGGAATCAGCTAACTGACTTTCCTTTCATTTAGGTATCTATATACACTATTATTTTCATTAACAAAAAACACATGCTTACCATTTGTTAAAAATAGTTTTTCTACTTTTCCAACAAGTATTGGGTTTGTTAAGCGTCAAGTTCTTGACGTCAAAATCGTGTGCAATCCAGTCAGTAACATCCGCCTTCTATTTTTATATACCTTGCAGATGAAGTTTGCCCCTCGACAATATATGACAAGTGCCACACAACGCCAGAAGCCACAACAGGAGCAGCAGCCACAACAGGAGCAGCAGCCACAGCAGCAGCAGCAGCAGCAGCAGCAGCAGCATCAATGACCAAGCAATTGACAACGGCAACTGCAACAAATGCGGCATCCAGCATAGGACAAGCGGGTGATTTGGCCCCCACGGTTGTATCCCCAACCGCGCCAGCCACAATTGCGACGGGCGGAGCAGGAGGAGCAGGAGGAGCAGGAGGGTCCTCCGGAGCAGGCGGAACCATTTCACCTGTCAGCGAGGCAACAAAGACTGCGCCACCAGCACAGCCCGTTGCGGAGAAGCACTCGAGTAGCGATGCCAGTGGCAGATCGGCGGCTCTGGAGCGTGCCTATGTGCACGATGTGTACGAGCACTGTGAGGAGCCCACGGGTCCCGTCCGCCCACGGATGGCCCACTTCCTCAGCGGTCTGGATCCCGGCTCGGTGGTCTGCGACGTGGGCTGCGGCAGTGGGAGATACCTCACCCAGTGCAATCCGGCCATCTGCACCATTGGCGTGGAGCGATGCTACCGCCTGAGCAAGGTGGCTCACGAAAAGGGCGGCGAGGTGAGTTCGTTATGGTAAAAGGCCGTTCGCGATTTAAGCCGTTGCTAAGCAGCTTGACTAATCACATTTCACATACTAATTGAAATGAAACGTGGGGTCCTAGGAAGACTTAGTTAACCGATGATGATGCGATAAGTAACTGTTTTTTATCAATATTTATCCGAGTTGATCCCTAATGCATTTATTGGTATAGCATGCCCTTCGAGGAGGCTTTAGCCAATCTTGAATGGGTCCCCATGACCACTTGAGAGGCGGTTGAGGTTCAGTGGTCGCAAGACTCACAAGTAGCAAATACAAAATTCCAAATTCGGGCTTCATATTAAAGTAAACTAAATCTGTTCTGCAACCTGCGTTTATATACAGCTTTTTACAAAACAGAACTAATGTCATTACCACTACTTTAAAATCTGTATAATTACCTTTATGTACTTGTATTTCACCAGCAATGCAAGCAATCAGAATTGCGCTCCCATCGAAATAGCTACTTTCTCGAAAACTTTGCCTTAACTTAATTACATTTTTGTTGTGGGCAGGTTGAGGTATTTTTGGTATCATCAAGGTCGCACGACTCCAAATCGGATTAAGCTTGCCATAAAGTTCGCAAGTATGTTCTTGATTAACTGAATTCGCAAGATGAGCATCGCATGAACTCATCAAGTTTGTGTGCAATCTAATTGCAGCCTGCTGCTAATTGCGTGTGTTTGGTGTGGTCGTGTTTTCCTTGGAGTTCCGTTCTGTTCGCCATACAATTGACCCATTTTCCAATTCCCCCCTAGCCGGCAAAAGGTCGAAAAGGGGCAGTGAGAGGGCCGCTAGATTCAAATGCTGGCTGCTCCACTTAACTTGGCCATTAGCAGAACGCATAAATTATGCTTATCATTGGGTATTATTTGCACATGTTCCGTTCGCCTGCTGCATTGGGAGTTTTTAGTGCCTCATAATTGCAATGGTCCACAACTGTGCCGTAAAAAGAGTCATTTGGAGGAGCAGTTAACCAGGCGGAACCCATAAACTGCACATGGTTGGCAGCCAAAGGGATGCATAATCGCCAATTGGACTTAATGCACTTCCAGCTGCAGCGGCTTCCGTTTCAATTTAGATCCTAAATGGGGTTATCATTAATATTTAATGAGTGAATGCATGCTGCACGAGTGAATTATTTACCCGAGCTAATACGCATGATGAAATAACAATTAATTTGGGTAAATTTGTGAGAGTCGTTTGGAGAATTAGAGACTTCTATTGTGGAGTTCATTAAATGTGGATATCTTTTCACTAGTATAAATACATGTTTGAAATAGGTTAGTCTCAAAGTCGTGTTCTTAAATTTAAAGAAGCTGCCATTAAGTTGATCCAATTTGTTAGCCATGCCTTATTATTTTTCTTATTAACGAGATGTACTATTCCTCGGAACAATTGCGTGAACAATATGTCCTCTAGTGAGCTCAGAAATTGTAAAGTTTATGGGGTGGAGGAGCACGCCTCGAACTTCGGGGCACAATTAAGTGATACGCTCGGCTATGTCATAATGAACATGAAGTACAGCGCACTTAGTTTTCCCCCCTGAACAATATTCGCTCAACAATGACACAACTCTGCTGCATAGTTTTCCCCATTTTCCTTTGTCCCGCTGCTGCTGCAGTTGCTCCTGGCTACCCACAGCCCAACATTTCCTTTTACAAGGAACAACAATAAATTGCGATCCCCCTCCACCCTTCCACCTTCCACCTTCCTGCTCCGCGTGAAACCGACGCTATAGTGGTATATAGCCAGCTGCCTGAGGTATGCAATGCTTTTTGCCATAATCTATTACTAACGCCGGGCGTTTATTTATGATGCCATTTGCAGGCGGAAAGCAGAGCCCGAGTACCATTTCCCAAGAAGAACGGGCTTTTCATTTGCTTTCCACTTCGCCGTAATCGACAACACGCATTCTTCGCATTTAAATTGCTTTCGCGTGGAATTGACAGCAAGGTTGCAGGAGCAGCAGCTGCTGCATTTCGCCCCCGTTTACTTAATTTATTTAATAACGTGCCACATTACCATGAGCCGAGTGGAGTTTAGGTGCCTTCAATTATTATTGTTTGCCGGCGAGTCCTTGACATTTAGTCCTTGCCGTCGCTGATTGCCCACATGTGTCTCTAATCACTGTTGCCCGTTAATTTGCATAGCAAAACGAATTCGATCGGAATTTATTTCTATTTGCTTAATGTGTATTTGCCTAATGTGTTTAAAATACAGCCGACAGCAAATGCACAAAATTCGCACGTGACATGCAAGCGAATGCAAGTTTTGCTGCGGAATTGCAAACTTTATGCAAAACCAATTTAACTTGGTCCGCGCGCACAAAAGTTGCAACTTTCTGATTTCTGCAGCTCGTGCATGGCCTGATTTTCAATAATTTTGTAAAGCAATAAAAGCGGAGCAAGTGGAGCACCCAAAATCGCACTCCACAGCTCTAGACATCCTCGTAAATCTCGTGAAGCCGCCCCGAAAAATGGCGCATACAAATGGGTGAAAGGAAGAGCAATGCCGCAAACATAAAAAGTGAAACTCAATAATGGCAGGTGCAGAGCGCTTGGTTTTTTTCTGGGCCAGGTGAAACCTGCAATTTTCAGCTGCCCCGAGGCTCCGTTCTCGGGCTAAAGCGCCATTTAAATAAGCCGCAAAGAGATACTGCATAAAGGACGACTATATGTGCTGTATATATGCATACTATATATATTCCATTTTCGGCTCAGAGTGACGCCGCCTGTCTTTTCGTCTTTTGCGCTGCGCTTTGGCCTCATTAGCGTGCAACGTGGCGTATGCGTAACGTGTTTCACCCTCACCTGACACTCTCCCCCGCCTGAAAGCCCCGTCAACATAAATTCCAAAGGCGTCATGTGCCCGACCCGCGTGACACAACACACATCGCATTCACACACAAAAGCCCAACCACCGTGTGTGAAAAATGGCCACTGCTATAAATACGATTTGTATGGCGCTCTAGAGAAAAACATTGCAAATAAAGGAAAACTGTCAGCGTGCGCATTCATCGAAAGGAGAAACTAAAGTGCTGGGGATATACAAGTGTGCTGTGGGCGGAGGTGGGGACTCAGATGAATGGGGCTGCATCAGAACTTAATGCATTCTGATGCTCATAATTCATTCATGCTCATAACCGGGAAACAAAGGATTGCTTACCTAAAATGCATGAGATTCCGTTTGTTTGCCTGGGCGTTTCCACGAGGAAAATACAATGATTCACTTCATATTGTGTATCCACGGAAATGGAGCACTTAAAGCTTGTTAATTTTTCTACTATTTAATACGTTTGAAAAAGTTTATTGAAATCTTACTTTGTTGCAATGGAAATATTATAAATGAACAACAAGCGTGATTCTTTTAAATTTTACAAACCGAAATGTACTGTTTTTGCTATTGAAATGCAATTCCGAGATCCCAATTTCTATGCTCAATGCCAATGCCCATCCAAAGCTCAGGGGCCGAAAAACACTTATGTTAATTGATATTTGCGAATGACTTCGAGCTCGTAATGGCTCAGTCTGAGTTTCTAGCCACCTGGCAGCAGCACCTGAAGCGGAAAACTCTAGGCAAAGTGTAAGGCTGGGCGGGTCAAGGATTTTTATTTCTGCAGGAGAACACACCCACATCCATGGAAAGTGCAAATACACACAGAAGTTTGCGATAACAGTTGAGCAGGAAGCGGAAATACAAGATTGCAGCAAATAAGATGGCTTTTTATAGAAAAAATGAACATAATATTTAATCCAGTATTTGCTCGGGCAATGTAAAATTGATTCCGCAAACGAGGATTGAGAGCAACGAAATTTCCAAGGAAATTGTGAATTTATATTGGCTGCAAATTGCATTTCCTGGAACAGCTTGAATCGATATTAAATTTCTCCATTGACGCGCTCGGCAGTTTGTCATTCGATATTATATTGAACGAACGGAATACACCTTTGTTGGCTTAACTCCCCTTCATCCCAATGATGGTAATTGACACCGTCGGTACTGGCCATGACACGAAAATGAATATAAATGGCCTGAATATGCCTGCACGAGCACCGGTTTTTGGCCACATTGTGTTAGGTCAGTTTATATAAAAGTATTCAACTTTCGAACAGCACTTTTCCCCCAGCGTATATTTGAATGACAAATGGTCGAAGCTAACTGCCAATCAGCCAGCCACACAGAGATAACTTTGTTTTTCCAGCGTGGAAAAGTTACTAATTGCCAAATGATGTAGCCAACCAAAAGGGATACTGCTTGTGGATTATTCAATCAGGCTGCATCCCTTTGAAATGGAAATTCTCCACTTCTTGCAATCTATCCTGCATGCTCAACTTTTCTCAGAGGCGATTGATGGTCCTGTTCGTGGCTTGAAATTGCATCATCTCTTCTTACTTACTGCAGCTTACACTATTTCAATAGCATACTTTTGCGGGCAGCACCCGTGGGAGGTTTCTGGCCAGGACTCGATTTCAGCGACAAGAGCACGATGTCGGCAGTCCTGACCCCACAAAGGGACTCCTGCGAGGACTTATCTTTGACACAGCTTAATTGGCATGGCTTCCCCGGAGATCGCTGGTTGGCCGGAATTTCGTGGTGTTGGGCTGCCACCTGGGGAAATCATTAAGTCCGTGAATCAATCAAATTATTAAAGCGAGAATAGTCGTTCCCCGACTATCAGATACCCGGTAGTCAGCTAGTGGAAGTGCAAAAGAGAAATTTCATAATCTCAAAATGTTCCCTTTTACTCTACGAGTAACGGGTATAATAATGTAAAACTAAAATTGCCAAGGAAATTGGCATGGAAAGGCGACTATGAAAATTAACAATGTCAATAATGCTAATATTAATAATTAACTAGCAATTCTATGAAAACCTCTTGAACTACAATGAAAACCTCTTGTTTGTTCCATTTTCCAGGTGGCACTGTGCGACAATCTAGAACTGCCTTTCCGGGACGACAGTTTCGATGCGGTGTTGTCGCTGGCGGTGGTGCACCACTTCGCCACCACGGAGCGACGTGTCCAGGCACTCAGGGAATTGGCTAGGATCCTGAGGATCGGTGGTCGGGTTGTGATCACCGTGTGGGCGCTGGAACAACGACATCGACGCTTCGAGTCGCAGGATGTGCTGATACCCTGGCAGCCACCAAAGAATCGAAACTACTCCTACTCGGATGAGGAGGACGACGACAATTTCCAGCCGCCTTACCATGCCTACACCGAGGACTCTACGAATTCCAGTCGATCGGCCGGAGATGGGGACAGCTCCAGCCTTAGTTCGTCATCGCCGGGGGAATCCTGCTACAGCTTTGTTCGCCGGGCCATTCAGGTAAGCCAAGGGCACAGTCGCCTTTAATTGGTCATTTGGCAATTATTATTATGTTCTGAAACCATAGAAACTGGCCCGTGGACGCCGGCATGCGTGGTTTATGGACTCGTGGTCCTCAAAGGACACCAAGAACGACAGCAGCTTGGACTACGAAGATGCCAAGGATCTGCCCATCGAGCTGCGTCGCCTGGAGGACTTTGAGGACTTTCCCGATCCGCCACTATCAGCTGGCCTCAAATCCCGCAGCCTGGGTAGCATCCTGCAGCCGCCACCCCGCCAGATTGTCCGCTCGCGCTCCAGTGTTCCCAGTCTAGGTGGTCCTCTGATTCCTGGTGAATCAAAGGCCAGTGCAGCGGCGCTGTTACTCAACGCTCCGGAGAGCCAGCAACTTCAGATGCAACTCCAATTGAATGGAAGGCATTCACCCACCACCACGGCCAGTGCTGGGAACACGTTGAGCAGGAGGCCAAAGCTCATCAAGCAGAAGCAGTCCTTGTGCGATGATGACGCCGCCACGCCACCCGCACCCGAATCCTTTCAGGTGGTAAGTAGTCTGAATGGCTCCAATGGCGTGGTAAGCAGCAGTCTGTACACAAAGAGTGGCTGCTATGCTGGGAATTTCCATCAGCATGCCTCGTCGACGTCCACGCCTCCGTCAGGTGATTCTGCTGAAGGAGGAGTCAACGGTGTACCCACTGGTGCGCCCACTTTCCTGCGCAAACAGAGTTCCCTCAACGAGGATCTGATGGCCTGCAATCGGCTGAGGGAAAAGGAGAGGGTGCGCAAGCGCATTCAAAAGCAAACCTCGCTGAATGAAGCCTTCCTCTGCAGATCAGCTCTGTTCTCCAAGAGACTGCAGGTAATCCGTGAGGGCTTCACCACCAAAATCAAGAGCTCGACGGGCAGTCTGGAAAGGGTGACCAAAACGGGCATAAGCAAGCTGATCCAAAACATCAAGAGTGGACCGCAGGCGCAGCCGAATCCTGCCCAGCAGCCCGCTCAACTGGACAAAAACCCCATGCTGAATAATAACAATAAGCAGGGAGTGGTGGTGACGGCTCATCAGCACCACCATCACCACCACCACCATCCTGTTCACCATCTGTCCCACTTGATTCTGCCCGCATCCTCGACGTCGGGACCTGTGACGTACTGCAGCAGTGTAGAGTGCACCATGGGCAATCTCTGTCACTGTAGCCAGTATCAGCAAGAGTGTCCCGCCTGTGCGGATGGCGGTCAGGGTGACAAGGCGAGGAGGCATTCCCGAGAGTCCGGCTCGGACTCCTCCAAGGACAGCAGCCTGCAGTCGGACACTAGTATCGAGTCCGAGGACAGCTTCGCTTCGGTCATATTCATACCCAAGCCGGAGCAGCACCAGCAGCAGTTGAACTACCAGCAGCAGCACCAGAACTCTAACTCCAGCTCGAGCAACTCATCCTCCAGCAATGGGCAAAGGGCACAAGGAGCCGCTGGTCGGGATCAGGGGGTAAATCCCGGCTCTCGATTGCCGCCCACTCACTCAGTGCCAACGTCGCCGCTAATCATGCCCTGCCCTCCCACTCCGGCTCATTCACCGGCTGCCATCCAGGGCACGGTGACTTCTCCGCCTCAGTCCACATCCGCCGTTTCCGCCGCCATGGCCATCTTGACTCCACCCTCAAAACCCGCTCGTTTCAGCTTCGATGAGGCCCACATCAAGCTGCAAAAGGAGCAGCATGTAGATCTGCAAAAGGAGCCGCCCAAGGAGAAGAAGGAGCCACTTAAGGAGCCGCCAAAGGAACCACTCAAGGCATCGCCACCGGTGCGTAGGATCACCCGCCAGGCCATCAGAGATCTGCCACCCATTCCCAAATTCCGAAAACAGCAATCTCTGCAGCTGCAACGTCAGAGTTTTCCCATCGTTAGGCGAGCTTCGGGATCTGGCGTGTCCACCTCAGCATCCACGACATCACTGGCCACCAAACTGCTCTCCCTGGAGCTCTTTAATCCGGCCACCGATGACCTGGACAGCGATTCCAGTGAACCCTCCTCCCCCGATTCCATAGACAGTGTTATAAGTGCACCCAGATCGGCCAAAGTGCCCTCGGGAAGTGAGGAAGGAGAAGCCGCGAACTCCGCGAACTCCAATTCGGCTTCCCAGGACGAAGGAGAACCCAGCTTGGCGCAGCTGATAAGTCTGCAGCAGGAGCAGTACCATAAAGGAGAGCTCCAGATCAATAGCTCCCGGTCCCAGGCCGAAGATGATATAATCCTGAATGCAGATAGTGCACCCCTTCTTCCCGAAAAGAGGGAGGCCGCTCAGAAGCAGGATTGTGCGGAATTCGCGGAACAACTGACTGCCCAACTGCAGCGGGAACTGGATGACAAGACCAATCGAACTGAGTGCCGGTATCTGGATGGGATCGGAATGGGAGATCTGACCGAGATTTTGGGTGGCGGTAAGAAGCGCTCTAATGGTGATTTGAGTGCTTTCCGGGATGAGCTCAGGGAACGCCGTCTGATGCTAGCTAACCTCTCCACGCAGCCAAGTCTGCAACAATCCCCGGTGAGCTCGTCCACCTCATCACTATCCTCCCAAACCCGCAGCTTCACCATCCAGGAGGAGGATGGCGAGGAAGAGGAGGAGGAGGAAAACGAGTCCAGCTACTCACTTGGCGTCTATGAGCACTGCAAGATCTCCAAGTTCAACTACAAGAGGAATCGACACTATCAGCTGAATCCGGAGACAGCCTACCTGCTGCAGGACGATGGGGACAGTGATGTGCGCGAGGATGAGGACGATGTCATACCAGAGGAGGAGGAGCAGGAGGAACAGGATGAGGATGCGGAGGCCGAGGCTCTGGAAGCCCGAGGTGGCGATCAGTTGGGCGAAGGCATGTCGGACTACGGCCAGCGCAGGCGCAACATGGCTGCCCTAAAGGTCCAACCGCCGACGACCCAGCAGCAGCAACCTCAAAAGGAGCCAAGCCAAGCGGCGAATCTCCAGCAGCGGCCCTCCAACGATTCCCTGGAGCACTCGAACAGCTCCACCAACTCCCTGGACAGCCCCTCCCAGGGTGGAGCCAGCACCCACCACCGCTACTACCATGTGTTCCGCGAGGGCGAGCTGGACGCGCTGATCAACCACCATGTGGCCAGCCTGCACATCGTTAGCTCCTACTACGAGCGGGCCAGCTGGTGTGTGGTGGCCGAAAAGGTTCAGGTGTGGACCATCTAAGCACCCTACTCTCAAACGGGTTTGATTTCTATTACTGGGACCGGAAGCATGTATACCAGAGCAAGAAAAACTCAAATAAGTTAAATTTTTGTCATTCGTTTGAATATTTTGACTTTATTTTAAGTTACACGGACAGTCTGCAAGAATACTTGAATTAGGTGTGAAAATCTTCTTGGAGTATTCAAAATCAAAGCAGTTTTTATGATTTCTTTAAGGCGTAGCTGACCCGTTTGAATCCCTGCTCTAAAACGAACGCCCATTTCCTAGCTGTAGTCTCTGATCTGATGCCCCCAAAGGAATTGTTAAATTTAGTCTATTACTCTAGTCGGCTGGCGATTCGGGGCGGGGAAGGCCCGTCCTGCGAACCAGCACTAATTTATTGTTAGCAGGCCTGCTCAAGGACGCGAACGCAGGATTGCACTGCATTGAAATCCAATTTCAAAGGAGAACGTAGCTGTAAGAACGAAAACCAATCGAATCGAATGCGATAACGAAACAACGCAAGCTAAATACAAATCTTACTAGTTATACGAGCATACTCTATTTACAACGATCATCTGTTTGTATCTTGCGCTATCTTTTGCTATGTTTCAAGCACTTTTTGCTATAATTTCGAAGCGAATAGTCATCAAACGTCCATTACAACATATACCAATTATACAAGAGAAAATCAAGATACCAGTTAAGCAGCTAGTCATAGTAATATAGCAAATACGTACATGCATGTATACACTCCTTAAAACTGCAACGTTTATAGAACCCTCTAAAAATATCAATAACTGCATTTAAATCTATGAGAGACCCGTACATATATCGAACGCAAAGTAAAATCAAAAATATATACACAAAACAGTTTAAGAAGCTCACAAACAATTTTCAAAATATTTATATTTTTCACCTTTTTAAAGCACTCTTTTATTTACCTTGATTAGATAAAGTAACTCACTAACCAAACTCACTTCCCAAAAACGGCCAATAAGACGATTGTAACATAAGCCTATGCCTAAACTTAAATTTTTGTCAGCTTAAGAATGGTTATTTGAAAAATAACGCAAACATTTTCAATAAAACCAAATATATATATACCTATACGCGACTGTACATGTGTTTTTTAGCTAGCTAAACTAACTTTATACCGTAAAATAATAGAACAATTGAATAAATATTAACTAACGTTGGACGCAACACTAAATTACAACAGATAGAACTCGATTTGAACCTATTACTGCTCGAAATGCTGAAACATTATAAACATTAAGTATTTGCTGGAAATATGTATAATTTGCACAGACTCAACCAGGCACACACGAACAGAAGAGACACAAAAACCCAAGCTACCAAACCATCTGAAATATTTAATATTGATAATTTGTATTGCATTAACAACAACATTAAATAAACTAATAATACTTACTGAACTGAATCTGCGTTTTTCAAATTAAATACATTTCTCTCTTACACGTAGCTCAAAATATCTTTGGGAAATGTTAAGCAATATTGAATAATGTAAAATTAAATTAAATTAATTTAAACAGAAACTTTTTTCAGTTTTCAAATGGTTGCGTAAGCGCGCGCATTTTCTTTCGGCTTATGGTCACCCTGAGGAATTTATCGCCAGTTGACCAGATGCCATCACTAGTCGAAGATAGGCGACTTATCGATAGGCTTTAATTGCTATCAGTTTTGGTATTATGGACGGAATGGAAGGCGGTACACTCGCAATATAAACATCCAAATAACAGCCTGTAAACCCTTCGAAAATTTCCATAAAAAAAGAAACAGTGCAAGTTCCGTGAAGCCAAACCAACCAAAGTGATGTAAAAGAAGGAAGTGAACGTCTCAGGAATTGAACAAAACACCAAGGATTACGAACAAAGATGTCCCTCGACCAATTGCCACTCCCCCTGCTCAACGAAAAGCTGCCCCATTAAGCTACTGAAATGCAGTAAAAAACGCACAAACAACTGTTAAAACACCACAACAAGATGACCCAGAAGCCAGGCGAGTGGGCCAGTGCCCTTTTGGCCCGTTTCGAGGATCAGGCAAGTGTTTTCAGATGGCTTTTCCGCAGTTGCGTTTCTCGCAGGCGAAAAAATGTACCTGCTGCTCTGCCTCTTCCTCCCCCATACATGCTCACTGCGACCTTGCGAGTGTGCGTGCCTCACCCGCTCCGTCTGTGTGAGCTCTCAATCAAATGCGGGAGAGAGCGAGATAGCAACAATAACAAAAACACCGGTTCCCGCATGAATGAAGTGGAATTGAGCAATCAATGGTTTACTCTTTCAGCTGCCAAACAGAATCGGAGCCTATGGCACGCAGGCCAGGATGAGCCAGGACCAACTGGTGGCCTGTCTGATCCACATATCGCGGTACCGCTTCTCCCTGGTCATATCCGGCCTCACCAAGATGCTGCAAAGGGTCAATGAGGCGGTATGTAGTCCAAAAACCTCTCCACAGCCTCTACATTGAGTATCCTCTTAAAAGATACGTGCCTACTTCAGGGGGCGGGGATACGATTAAGTTAAACTACTGAAACAAAAACTCCATTGCAGGCACTTCAAAATCGCCATGAGCCAGAGCGTTGCTACTTCGAGTCGCTAGTCATCATACTGACCACTCTGGAGCGCTGTCTGACCAACCAGACCAAGGACACAGCGCGTTTCGAGGAGGCCATGAATGTGAAGCTGCTGCTGCGCGAAATCTCGCAGTTTGTGGATGTCCAGAGCGACAGCAACCCGAATGCCGCCCAGCTCAAGGCCCTGGCATCCAAGGTGCTTTTTGCCCTGTCCCAGAATCACTTCTCAGCGGTGTTCAATCGCATATCGGCGAGAATTCAAGAGCTGACATCCTGTTCCGAGGAAAATCCGGATTACAACGACATAGAATTAATTCAACACATCGATATGGATATGATAAAGCTAACCAAGCTGCTGCAAGGTAAACCAAATACTTTAATGTTTCGAAAAGGTTTTAACCTTTTTACATTTCCAGAAACCATCACAAAGTTTCGATCGAAGCGTGCTCCACCTTTGATTTTGCTTTACTCGCTGGAGAAGGCTATTTGGAACTGGATTGAGTACCATCCACAAGAGTTCCAAGACCTGCAGCGAGGAACCAATCGAGATATATCCACGTAAGAGGAATGACAAAGACAATTTTAAAGACAAATAAATTGATTCTGTTTCGTTAAAGCTGCTGGGAACCCTTGATGGACTTTGTAGAGTACTTTAAAACCGAAAACAAAAAGAGCAAAACTCTTGTGTGGCCGCTTCAAATGCTCTTGCTAATATTAAATCCCTCTTGCCTCGAAGCCGTCGTCAACGAACTTCAGCAGTCGGAGAAAGAGAAAGAAAAGGACAAGGAAAAGGTTGCCTCGAAGTCAGCGCAATCCACTTCTAGGGACAAGGACTTCTCGGCCAAGCAGTTCATCGAGAGCATCAAGAGAGGCTTGGGTCAGCACTCACCATCGAAACAGGTGACCGAATCTGCTGCAATCGCCTGTGTGAAGTTGTGCAAAGCATCCACCTACATCAACAACACCGACTCCAATAATGTGGTCTTCAAGCTGGTGCAATTCTTTATCAACGATCTCAAAGCACTGCTCTTCAATCCAGCCAAGCCCTTCTCTCGCGGACAGGGTTACAACTTTGCAGATATCGAGCTGATGATTGACTGCTGGGTGTCGTGTTTTCGGATTAATCCTCACAACATCGAGGCGCTAAAGGTTTGCCTGAATTTATCCTCGCCGCAGGCTTACCATTTTGTAATTGTGTGCTCTTTGCTAAGGTAATTAATTTGGGTAATTCTATAAATCTTGTATGACTAATCCATATATACTTCCCATTATAGGTTGGCTCACATATACGTCGACTTCCGTTTGCAGAACAAGAACCCCTTCCGCATAGTAAACCAACCCAGATTGGCTTGGTGGCCACAGACGGATGTGGTGCACTACCGCTCTGCTGAGCTAAGAGCTTTGTTTACGGATACGCTCAACAAGGCCACCCAGGGTTATATAGCCCACACGCCACTGCGCTATATAACCTCCCTGACACTCAAATCTAAAGATACGCAGAAAGGTTTAACGCGCGCCGAAGAGGGTCCAGCCCACAAAATGTTATTGCTGCTACTCGTACGGCTAATTCATGCTGATCCCACGCTATTGTTAAATGTGAGTTCTTAGATTCTTTTATCGCTCATACACTCATTTAAAAAACATTGTCTGTATTCTAGACACAAGGAAAAGTAGCGCATGAAGTGCAGAGCTCTACTTTGGAGTTGATCAACGGTTTAGTTAGTTTGGTGCATCAAACTACCATGCCCGATGTGGCACAAGAGGCTATGGAGGCGCTGCTGGCTCTGCACGCCCCGGAGAAAATAGAGGTTTGGAATCCAGAGGCTCCGATCAATACGTTCTGGGACGTTAGCTCCCAGGTGCTGTTTTCAATCTCGCAAAAGCTCATTCAACACCAAATTGCCAATTACACTGATGTCTTAAAGTGGCTACGCGAGATCCTTATCTGTCGGAATACGTTCCTTCAGCGACACAAGGATTATGCACATGTGGGAAGTCAGATTGCCATTTGCAAGCAGGCTCACATTAAGATGGAAGTCGTTTTCTTCATGTACCTGTGGAGTGTCGATTTAGATGCGGTGCTGACATCGCTGTCGTGTTTTGGATTGCTTTGCGAGGAGGCAGAGATTTGTTGCAGTTCCGATGAATTAACAGTCGGCTTTATTATGCCGAATTATCACATTTACCAGGAGCTGGCTCAGTTGTCCACATGTGAGTTTTTATTAAATTCATAATCTACGCTTTTGTTATTTAAATTTCCATTTTAGCTGCAACGGACTCTCGCATTTGTTTCTTTGACAACACCCACGGCAATGTGCTGAGTCGTCTTACACTTCAAAAGCGCATTATGACCCTATTGCGCAAGATCGAGCACTGTGTCCATGGCGTTCAGCCCGCCTGGGAGGAGACCTTTCGCAACTGGGAGGTATCCAGCAAGGTTTTGCAAACGTACCCCAAATGTAAAGGAGAAGATGGCCAAGCAGAGGTCTTCCATCGGGGCATGGGCAAGCGGCGAGCGAGTCACCAAAGCTCAGAGCACGATCTGGAGGAACAAATCAACGAATGGGCCAATATGACTTGGTTTTTACTAGCCTTGGGTGGCGTCTGCCTTCACAAACGCAGCAGCAGTCGTCAAATGCTGCTGCAACAATCGCAGAACAATGCTTCTTTGGGCTCACTTGCTCAAAACTCTCTATACTCAAGCTCCACAAGTTCCGGACATGGCTCTCTGCACCCTAGCACAGTTTCACTATCCACTCTTCCCCCAGCACCGCCACAAGATGTCAGCTATTGTCCTGTAACACAGTAAGATGATATATAATTTTAACATGCCCACTTCCTAACCTTTAAATGTTCATTATAGATTCGTGGGCCAACTATTGCGCCTGCTGGTCTGCAGCAACGAAAAAATTGGCCTCAATATTCAGAAAAATGTGAAAGAACTGGTGGGCGAGGAGATGTCCACCCAACTATATCCCATACTCTTCGATCAGGTTAGAGCCATCGTGGAGAAGTTCTTCGATCAGCAAGGCCAGGTGAACGTCAATGTGACCGACATCAACACGCAGTTTATCGAGCACACCATCTACATAATGAAATCGATTCTGGATCCCAAAGCTAACAAGGATCCCAACAACGATCAACCATCGCCCTCGGAACATTTAGGTGTTACAAGCATCGAAGGCATGATGCTAGGAATAGTGCGTTATGTTCGTCACCTGGATATGACTGTTTATGCCATTCGAATCAAGACAAAATTGTGCCAGCTTGTGGAAGTGATGATGAAGCGACGCGACGA